GCGGCCCTGCGCTCGTACGACCAAGCCTATGAGGAGCTCCTGAGCCAGGACGTGATGGATATCATACCAAGTTGGAGCCCGCGCTGGAACGAAGCTCGCATGCTCGCTGACACCATTGCGATACGCGGCATACGATGTGTGCTCTGGGGCGCACAAACCACGTCTGCTGTGCGGAGATGGCAAATGCACCGCGACAGGATAGCCGACTTTGTAGATCGCCGAGGGCGCGGGACAAACAACTACGGCTGGGAGGCATGGGAGTCGAGGTGGGCTGTTGTCATGGCAAACTTGATTGAACGGGTAGATGTGCGCAGTCTCGCGCCGTCTACAAAGACCCTGTACCTCCAACCGGAAAAGGCCGCCGCGGTGGACAAGCTTCAACCGTGGGATATGCTGCATCATACGGGATATTGGTACCGCACTGCTGCAGAGCATCTCGCTGCTCGCCGTCGCCTGGCCCGCTCGATTCCTGAATCGGATCGCCGGTCTCCAGACACCACACCAGCATCAGCAGTCGCTAGCAAAGCCTTTACATACGACACGTACATGTGTCCTGATCCCCATGAAGAGTTTCCCCTGCAAGGGATGGGCGTCAACCACTCCCAGCTCATCATCGATCTTTTGATGGCGGCAAGGTCTCAGTTCCAGGCAAGGAGGCAGCACCGGATATCGGCAGAGCTGTCGCTGGAGTGTGCAAAGGAGATGGTGAACCTCAAGGCGTGGAAGGACATTGTCGCAATACTCAGACCGCTATGGGAGGACATGTCGTTCCGGGAAGAGGGCTGGGTGAACATTGCAGAGGATCTCAGCTGGGTGCTTCGGGCTGCCGCTGCGCACACTGGGAATGCAGAGCTCGTGGTCGCCATTGACTGGGAGCTGATGAACAAGAGTAAGCTGCTCCGTTATGTCAGCCTTCTTGATCTAACTCGTCGCAGGATTTACGCGGCGCCCCAAGTGGCATTACGACATCTCGAGATCGCTGGAAGGTTTGTCCATTGAGTCGAAGCCCACAGTGACAATTAACGACGACATATCATCCTTCATCTCCGCGTCCTTCATTTTCAAGGGCGAGGATGGCAAGGCCGGCGAAACCTGTCAAGCTCAACTGGCAATCAAGTCGGATGCCTTTTCAGATGCAGCGCCCGTCACTCTGAAAGGGCTGCGAGTTGACTTTGAGGGCAGCCTGAAAACCATCACTCTAGATCACGCAGCCGAGCCCAACGCGGCCACAGTGAAGGCCGCTGTTTCCTTGTCGAATGTTACCTTGAAAGAAACCGCTCGGGCTGGAGAAGACGAAGAAGGGGCATCAGTGCTCAGCGGATCTGCCAATCTTACCATCGTGCCTGGCTCTACCAACGTCTATGAGATAGCAATCCCACTACGCGAACCCGGTGAGGCTCGAGCGGATTCCGTTACTTTACTCCTGGAAACCGACGCGTTCCGCCTGGACTACACTGTCGATTTCCGAGATCTCGGCGTAGCGGACTTTTGGTTCAGCCCATCTCTCGCTAGGAGAATAATCGTACGCCAGAGCGCACATGTCATCCAAGTACAACCCCGACCACCGAAAATGGAAATCAAGCTCGCGAAACCTTTGGACCAGTTCTACGCAAACGAGCCGATGGAACTTCTCCTTGACGTCTTCAACGCAGAAGACGAGGAGGCCGTTGCCAAACTCGAGGTCCATGTCTTTGGCGAGCAGATCCCCGCCTTCCGAGTCCAAGCGGCCGACCAAGACGAACACAAGGCAGAAGCTGGCCAAGAAGAAGCCAAACTTACGGGTCTGCCGCTCGGCACGCTGGCAACATCGCAATCAACTCGTGTCAAGGTCTCGCTCGATCCCATACAGCTGACAACGTCGTATGATGTGACCCTCAGAGTCTTTTACCATCTCGTTTCCGACCCAGCAACCCTCGTCATGCAAATCCTCCCTGTCCAACTCCACGTGGTCAACCCGTTTGAAGCAAACTACGACCTCATTCCCCGCCTGCACCCCGACCCCTGGCCCTCTCTCTTCGACCACGAAGGCGTTCAGGACCCAAACATTACCGACGACGCCGCAATCCAGCCCCGAGGGCTGGCCCAAAAGTGGTGCCTGGTGTGCCACTTTGCATCCTTTGCCTCCGAAGACCTCGAAATCATCAGCATGGACGCGGAGGTCCTCTCCTGCCAGAACAATGCCCGCTGCACAACGATTTCCCGCCCAGAATTAGCAGCAGATGGTCTCCGCATATCACCAAAGCAAATGCAAGAGGCACAGTTCAACCTGGTGGCTCAGAAGTACAGCCTCGACGATCGGGGGCCGGCCTCGCTAGACATCGCTTTTGTTCTCAAGTGGCGCCGCACATCATCGACCTCGTCGACCGTCAACACCACGACGATGCTCGTTCCGCGGTACATTGTCCTCGGCACCGAACCGCGCGTGCTGGCTTCTTACACCCTCGCCAATCCGGCAACGGGACTCGTCAACCTCAACGTCACCATCGAGAACGCCTCCAGCCACTTCCTCACGTTTGGCCTGAGCATGGAGCCGAGCGACGAGTTCGCCTTCTCCGGCGCCAAGCAGACCACAATGCACGTCCTCCCCGTGTCGCGTCGGTCGGCGACATACCGCCTCCTGCCGCTCGTCAGGGGCGCCTTCATCCGGCCAAGCCTGGTCGTCAGGGACAAGTACTTCCAAAAGGTTCTCAGAATCATACCCACCGAGGGCATGAAGATTGACAAGGACGGTCTCCTGATATGGATCCCGCCGGAAGAGGAGGAAGAGGAAGACAACTAGTCACACGCTTGTATACATACTCTACATCTAAAGAACTCTAAAAGACACTCATCTATTGTGACCATTTACATCTTCGCCTTGGGGGGCCGTTCGGGCCGACCGATCCTCTTCATCCACTCCTCCGTAAGAGTGGTCTTCTCCTTTACGCTCAGCGCCGCCCACCTCTCGTACTCCTCCTGTTCCCTACGCCACTCTCCCAGCCCCTTGACGATCCACTCCGCCGTCAACTTGGCACTCGTCCCCGGAATCTCCATGGGAAACAGGTGTCCCGCGTCGGGCAGCGTGACCTCCCTCACCCGCCCCCTCTCTACGCCTCCGCTCCCGCCCGGCCCCGTGCCCGTCAACCTCATCTTCTCCTCCCTCAACTCGGGCGTCGACAAATCGCTCGTCCCTCCGAAGACGTACATCGCCCCCGGCCGCAGATGAGGCAGCCTCGCAAGCGTGCTCGCGCCCTCGGAGCGGTACACGGGGAAGGTGTAGTACCGCTCGTTCAGCGACGGGTCCAGGTCGGGCACCAGGTCCGGCTTGACGATCGTCTGCCCCTTGTCGTCGTAGGCGTTCCAGCTGGGTCGGAAATACGTAAACACCTCTTGGTGCTTCGTCGTCGCCAGCGTCACCCCCTGGCCCTCAGGGTACAGCTGCGTCGGCACGTCCCGCAGCCCGTGCCGGACCCAGCTCTCAAAGACCCGCTCGTCCCAGGCCTTGTAGAAGGGGCTCCGCAGGAAGGCCTTCTTCGCCTCGTCCCGGGACGGCCAGACGTCGCGCCGTGAAGCGGACGCAGCCGCCGGGCTCGCGCCGATGGTGCCCTTCGCGTTGGAGGACCACTTTGAGATGACGGGGTCGAGGAGCACGACGGCGGAGAAGAGGCGCGGGTTGATGAGAGCGACGTTGACGATGGCGTTGCCGCCGAAGGAATGGCCGACGCCGACGAGGGGCCGCGGGGGCCGCAGGGTGTTGACGACGTGGACGAGGTCGCGCGGGTGGTCGAACCAGCCGGGGTCGTTGCCAAGCTTGCCCTCGTTGAGGACGGAGGAGGCGCCCTGCCACGCGGCGTCGGCGATGATGATTGAGCGGATGCGGAAGTTTGACTTTTTGGACTCGGCGTGGAGGTCTTCCCAGAGAGCCTCGTAGAGTTCCTGGGTGCGGGTTAGCGGTTTGTTGATGCCATGTAGATTGAGGAGGTCATGAGATGTGAGTTCTTGTGTAGGCTGCTTTTGAGTATTGAGACGATGAAATGAGATTCAGACAAAAAAGAGACAGAGAGAAAGACTACCTTGGGAAAACCGTTGGCGTGGGCGCCGATGATGGTCACATCCCCAGGCTGCGGGTTCGGGTTATCCTTGGGGAGGTACTCCTTCACGGCCAGCTTGAGCACATCGTCTTGTGAGTTTGCGAGGGCGCGTGGGAATTCGCGAATGTGTGAGGCGTCGAGGACGTGTTCCTTGATGTGGAAGACGGACGAGGGTGACATTGTGGCTTCCTGGGCGCCACCAAGACTCTGACTAGTCAACCTTTACGTGTGGCAGAGGCGTGTCACTTGTCAGGTTGTGAGATGTGGTAATCGTCTGATGATTGAGATTGATGAGAAAACACCAAAAGTTCTCCAAGTAGCGTTCGTTGGAGATGATTCGGAGTTGAAGTTGCTACATTAGACCGAGGGCCCCGGCAACATTGGGACGTCTGGGGAATTCTGGGGGTTCTGTGGAGATGCCGAGGTACCAGCGCCGGCATCCCAGCCTACAGACCCCCGAGGACAGCCCAAAACACTAATAGAGTAGCCACGCTGCATCTCCCCGAGACAGGAGCGCGGCGGCGGCAGTTATCGTCGGTAAAACCAAATGAAACCGGCAACCGTCGCGCTTCTTTCCTTTTTGCCTGCCTGTATCGCCGTTGGACAGGAACACAAGGAAGGGCGAGTGGATGAATTGAGTTCCCGAGCACGGCTGGCGTAACCTAGCTGTCAGTCCTGCGCCTGGCGTCTCCTTTTCATCCGTTCTTCAGGGTAAGACGGTGGGTGGCCGAAGGGGTTGATGTGAACCTCTGTGTGACTGCCCCTTGAATGCTGCACGTAGGCACTGTCAACGCCCAGATTCATAATCTACCCCGCGATCCATGGCACACAGTGCATGCCCCCCACTCATTCTGCACCTCCACACACATTCCCCCAGCAAACACACACACTTCAAACCCCGAAGTAGACGGCATACGTCCCCGGCCCTGCATGCCCCGGATCCTCATCTTCGCCGGCGCCCCGGCGGCAGACTGGTCCGCCACCTCCCCACCCGCCCCGGCATCCACCTCTACCCCGCCCGGCCCGGTCTGGCGCTCCCTCACCCTCCACCGCGCGCCCCTTGTGACGGGCTACTCCCAGCACCACGGCCTGCCCTCCGACTTCCAGCCCCCGGCGCACTTCTTCAGTCTCTCCGTAGACGCCACCACCGCCGAGTCGCAGTCCGTCTCCGCCTCCCAGGAGCTGCTGTCGCAGTTCTACGACCACTCGCTGGCCCTGCACCACGACGTCCCGTCCTCCCAGCTGCCGCTCCCCACGCAATCCCAGTCCCAGTCCCAGTCCTTCGAGACGACTGTCACAGACTCCGCGGACTCCTTCGACGACACCACCACAAGCATCCGCCCGCCGGTGACGACATCCCACCACCTCTCCGACCTGGAAGACATCCCCGAGGCGCCCGCCCTGCTCCGCCTCGCCCCGCAGACCGTGACTGTGAACCTCATCGCCGGCGTCATCTCCGTCTCGCCGTCGCGCGCCATCACCACGCGCTGGGGCACCGAGCTGGCCCTCGTCGAGGTCCTCCTCGGCGACGAGACCCGCGCCGGCTTCGGCGTGACCTTCTGGCTGGCCCCCGCGGCGAAGGGCGCGCCCGGGACGACGCTGCCGTCGGAGCTGAGGAGGCAGGACGTGGTGCTGATGCAGAATGTCGCGTTGCACGTGTTCCGGGGCAAGGTATACGGGCAGAGCCTCCGGAAGGGACTGACGAGGACCACGGTGCTCTACCGGAGGAGGATGGGGGAGGGGGATGAAGGCGGGTACTACAGACGCAAGGATCTGGAGAGCCAAGGGGAGGGGAGGACACATCCGCAGCTGGTTAAGACGAGGAGGGTATGGGAGTGGGTGTTGAGTTTTGTTGGCGGTGAGGCGAGGACGGAAGGCAAGGGGAAGGGCAAGAAGAGGGGATGGGATTTGCCGCCCGATGATACCCAATGAGGTGAAAAGTAGCAAGGTTTGGATAGCAGTTTTCTTGGATACATAAATCATTAATCGACTCTATGTGTAGTCGTTATTACAATCTCTAGTCTAGGTAGAGTGAGGTCTAGCCCGGGTATCCTCTAAACAACAACGCATATTGTACAGTGATGTTATCCATCTAAACAGCAGCAACCGCAGGTCCCTTGCCCTCCTTCTTGACACTCTTCCACTGCAGACCCAGGCAGGCAACAAAAGCGGCCGCAGCACATGCAACGGTGACGTAGTACGTGTGTCTCAGACCAACCATGTACGACTCCAGAACCGCGTCAATCGCGTCCGCACGCCCCATCTGGGTCAAGATGCTGCGGACCTGGTCGGCGCCGGCGTTGATGAAGATGGATGGGTCGAGATCGGGGACGCGGGTGGCGACCCCGTTGACAAGCCCGGTCTGGAACAGACTCTGAGCGACGGCAATCATGATGGCGCCGCCAAATGACTGGAAGAACTGGACGACGGCCGTCGCGACGGGGACGTCTTCGAGAGGGAGCACGGTCTGGACGACGAGGACGCCGATCTGGAAGCCCGCGCCAATGCCGAGGCCCGCGAGGACCTGGTAGCCGAACCACTCGCGCATGGGGGTGTCGAGGTCGAAGGTCGTGATGAGGCCGGAGCCGACGGTGAAGAGCACGAGCGAGGGCAGGATGATGGCGCTGTAGTAGCCGATGACGGAGATGAGCGCTCCGCTGGCCATACTGGCGACGACGGTCGCCAGCAGGAGGGGCAGGATCTTGATGCCCGCCTGGACGGCGCTAACGCCCTGGATTGCCTGGAAATAGAGGGCTACATCTGTCAGTGGTTGAAGCGGACAGACCGTGGACACAACTTACATAGGTAGTAGATGAGAGGGAAGAAGGCGGCGCCAAAGAAGCAGGCGAACAGCATGGCGCAGACAACGTTGCGGTTCTTGAAGAGATAGGGGGGCAGAGTGCCCTTGTCTCCCTGCCACAGCTGGATTCCGACGAAGATGATGATCATGAGACCGAATCCGACAAAGAGGCCAATGATTTTGGCACTCTTCCAGGGGTACTCGGTCCCTCCCCACTGCAAAGCAAGAAGCAAGCAGACGATCGCGGGGATGAAGATGGCTGTGCCGATGAGGTCGAGCTGCATAAGGCGTTGAACGAGCGTCTTTCCCTCCGGGTTGTTCTTGCGGCTCAAGTGAAGCAAGAAGAAGACGAAGACCATGGCGATGCCGCCAATCGGGAGGTTGATGTAGAAGCCTGCGTTGACGGTCAGTTGCACGCTCTCTAGCAAACAATCGGCAAGAAATGAGACTTACACCACCGCCAAGTCGCCTTTTCTGTGAATACGCCTCCAAGCAATGGTCCAGCGACAGACGCAATACCCCACATGCCGCCAATCAAACCAAAGGCAAGAGGTCGCTTCTCCAGGGGCATCGTGTAGCTGAGGATGACAATGGAACCCGAGAACAAGCCGGCCGTGCCAATGCCGGCGACGGCACGCCCAATAATGAAGGCTGTCGAATTCGGTGCCAGGGCGCAGACCAGGGAACCAATCTCGAACACGGCAATGGCGGCGATGTAGATGTACTTGACGCTGAACAGCTTATAGACGGTACCGTACATTGGCTGGAGGGCGGTGGTGGTCAGCAGGTAAGCCGAGCCGTACCAGCCAATGTCCTTGACGCTGCCATATTCCGAGGTGATGGCGCCGAGAGCTGGTGCGATGATGGTCTGGTCCAGGGCGACAAGGAAGACGGCGAGGCAGAGGGCAATGATGATAAGAATGAGCTTCAGGCCGTGTGGGTATTCGACCTCATCCTCGCTGGACTGGTGGGTTGAGGGTGCCTTTGTATCGGCAGCGTTGAGGTCGTGGGCAGGCTTCTCGGTGAGGATCGAGGGGTCGGCAGAGGTGGTCTCGCCGAGTCTGTCGTCGCGATGCTTCGTATCCATGTTGACGAAGCTTCCCAGTAGCGATAGAAGGTGGGAAGGCAGCTGTCTCTGAGGAAAGGGTGTGAAGGTCAAAGGGGGGGATCACTTATAAGTCGAGACAAGGTTGAAAGGACCTTGGCGGGATCTACCTTATCGGCTTGTAAAAGGAAACTTCAACCCTGAAAGATGATACAGAAAGAACGGACGAAAGCAAAAATGAATGACGGCGGGAAGCGGGCGTACTTAACGACCTCGGGCGGTCCCCTACATTGCATCTCAGATCGTGAAATTTCCCAAGTGCAACATCCCATCGGGTAGCAGCGCGGACCACCACCGACCATGACCAGGCCCCATCCCGATCTGGACGTGTTTGCAAGCCACAGGGATGGTGGGGGATGGTCCAGGCTGCCGACTCACAAAGCACGAGTACATGAAGCCAAGGGCCAACTAGCCCATTAGCATGAGCTTGTCTGCGTTTGGGTGGGTGGAAAGTGCCAAAGGGCGGACGAGGGTACGGACAGAAATTGAGGGCCACGCAGGGGTCAGTATCGGATGGAAAAGAAAAATCTGCCCGATTGTCCAGATGGATGATGATGACTACATGACCGTCGCCGCAGCTACGAGCATATTCTGTTACGTGCCAGTGGGATGCTCCAGCTGCAACGTGGGCCGGGGCATGTCTGAGTAGTCCGGGGGCCCATGGATCACACGAAAGAAGATTTACGAATGCTGCAGCGGTGGGCAATTCATCATACGGAGTAGAGCGAGTGAATCTTCGGGAGTTCCAGCCATGTGGTAGTGGGCCGGTAGCGAGGTTAGTCAGACCGCAGGGAAAGGAGCAAGCAATGGCGGCGGAAAAGCCTAGATGTCGGTCGGGCCCTCTCGGAGGTCGGCGTGTAAACATGTCCGACTGACACGGCGCCGTCTCCGGTGATTGGCTGGCTCCATCGCCCTTCGGCCCTCGCACCGCACCTGGTCATTCCACTTTGGGATTTACGACGTCAAGACGCCAAATTGACCAATCCTTCTTTTTTTCAGCTGGGGGAGCACCAAGGGCACTTTGGGGTCCTAGCGGCGGCACCGCAAGCACCTGCTGTGGCTTGCCCTCTCTTTGGTGCAGGACCCCGTCGTGACTCATCGGTGGCCCGATGTACTGCGATCTTTCATGTTTGCGGTGCTGGAATCTATCCGACTGAGACGTCCGTGTTTAGTCATGGTGGCTTGACCGGCCGTCGTCGGACGGCGATGAAAGTGTTGCGAATCCCCATTCCACGTCTTTGGATTTGCATCGTGTCACAAACGTGCGCGTCATATAACGCGGATCGACGCGTTGCTGACGCCCAGTCCACGTCTTCCTACTCTATACTCACACAGCTGTGGCCGAATGCCTCATCGGTAAGATGAGGCTGCGGAGACACCACCACACAGGTCGCGAAACCCTGGGAGAACAGCCTACGATGGCTGCAGGGCCTTCGCAACGTCCGCGTCACCCTGCACTTACACGCGACGTGGCTGACAAAGACTGTCTTGCTCCCATGGCAGCCAGCATCTTAAGCTTATTCACATGGCCACAATGTGTGTGCAAGCAGGATCAGAAGACAAGGTTGATCCCGCCGCCATCCATCAACTTGGGGAAACGCATCTGACCTTCTGACAAGTTCCGCAGAGGCTAGATTGCGAGTCTGGCGTCCGAGCCAGAGACTAGAAGTCAGGAAAAGGTTCCCTCGCTATCCACTTGAAACGGCCCCCGATGGAACGCGACGGCCTGGGATCGACTGATGGACGGGCTTGTTGCTTTTAAGCATTTCGGAGATGGAGAGTCTTACTGTAAAAGAACGTGAGGTGAGTCTTGGGGCCTACGGGCACCAAGGTAAGGTACTTTAAGGCTCATCCCCGCGGCGTTTCGGCGCCGTTTATGGGGACCACCTCCCGTCAGCCAGTGAGCATCGGGACAAGTGCCGCTGTTGAAACAAATCCCCAGTGGAGGGGGCAGAACGGCAGCTCTTCAAGGTTTGAAAGTATCGACGCGGGTTATTTGGGTGAGAAGATACCTGTGCAGGGCAAGCGAGGCAGAGTGCAGGGTGACGCCTGCAACAGAGCCTCAGCGTCACCCGCCAAGGTTCGCTGTAAATGGCCGTGGATGGGCGCCCTATCTAATCTCGGCGCATCCAAACCATGGAACCCTGCACGTCCGCCCGCACCGCATCGTCGGCCGCGTCTATTCGTACGTCTGCTGCGTCTGCGTCTGCACTAAACCAACAACTCTCCAACCTCTGTCCGTAAAGTTGCTGCGTCGACGTCCCCTCGCATGGGCATCTTTTGCCAGTCCGACAGACAATGCCATTTGCACATCCACCCATCGCCGATAGCTCCTCAATGACCACGTCGAAGCGATAACCGATAGACGAGAGCCCCCAACCTCACGAACGGTCCACCGTTTGAACCCACCTGCCGCCGGATATCATTCCCCATCGGTCGAGAGCCTGGCCTCCCGACCTCCATTTCGCAGCCATGGACCGCGCCATGATGATGAGGGACATGGAGTACGATGAGAGCGCCATCATGGAGGATGACAGGGACGCCGAGCCTCCCGCCATCGCGGGGACCCCTCAGCGCCTCATACTCGGCCGTTCGCCCTTGTCCAAGACGCGCTCCATGTCCGACGGCGGCACCCCGTCGAAGCTCTCGCCCTCTCCGCACATCGCCGAACGCAACACGTCCAAAGATGATAGCCACATCGGGAACACCGCCGCCGCCGCGTCCGTGGCGCCTCCCGTCACTCCCCACCGGTCCGAGTTTCCTCTCCGCGGCCTGTCACTGCAGATGCCTGCCAACTCCCCGTCCTCCTCTTCCGCCGGCTTCACGAAACCCGCGCCGCTGTCGCCAAAGCTCGACCACTCCCAGATTTACGCGAGCCCGACAAACATACTCCCGCGTCGCTCACGCGGCCTCGACTTCTCCCGTGCCGCGACGAGCCTCCACCACTCAACCCTCGCCGAGTCCTCTCCCGACTCATCGCCCACCATCGGAGGCAGAGGAATGAACATACCTGGGAGGAGAAGCAACGACTACGGACAGGCTGAGCAGACGACGAACTCGCTGTGGTCCATGATGGGCAACCACGAGCGCATGACCGTGTCGAGCTCTCTCGGAAGCGCCCACCCGCTCGGGTCGGACTCTTCCTCGTCTTCAGACGACGACGATTTGATGGACGAGGACATGGACGAACCGTACATTGGTACGCCACAGGCCAACAAGTCCATCACCCCAATCGGTACTCAGGCTCCCAACGCGCCCTGGATGGGATCCCCGGCCATGAACAGCCTGATGAGCTTTCAGCAGAGACAACGGGCAAGGAAACAGCCCAAAAAGAAGTACAAGCCGCCGCTCGGTCTTGGGTTTAGTCCCGCAACCGTTGCCGGTCTATCAAAGTCGCCGCCGAGCAATGGGCCCAAGGACATGTCTGCTCACAACCGGAGGGAAAGCATAAGCTGGCAGGCGAACCAACTGCATATATCCGGCAGTGAGGAGGAGCGGGGAGATAACATTGACCACCTCCTGACCACACCCAGCCGCGACGGGCAGCGACCAACCATTATGAAACGCGTGGTCACCCGTCGCGCAAATCTTTTGGTGAGTTGGCTTTCATCCAGTCTGACTTATGCGTACTGACTATGTGTGTAGCCCAAAACAAAGAACTTTGCTCGTATCAGAGCAGCTCTGTTCGAGGAAGGCGCGCCTGTTGAGACGGAGACCCGGCGCGAAGCCGAAGTCGTGCGACAAGTGCGTGAGAGCGACGTGGACCTCGAGCCGCCCCGTCAACAAACGGCGCCGGCCACGACTCACTCATCACCAAACCTCGGCACCCAGGAGCCGATGCTGGACGACATCCCCGAGAGCATGATCACCGACTCTGCACTGAACCTTTCAGGCAGCTTCAAGCAGCAGGCACTGAAGAACTCGAAGGGCACCAAGTTCTGGGACACATTCTCAGAAGCCAGCAGCGCCGGCACGCGTACGACACCACCCCCGCCCAGCGGACTCCCCCGGGGCTCCTCCTCGGGCATCAGCGAGGATATATCCATGGACTCGCCCTCTCTCGGGCCGACCGCCGGCTTCGCTATGGCCGCCAGCAGCGGCGAGTCCCAGAAAGGCGACACACCCCTCCTGGCACAAGGGCCGCAGCCGGCGCCGAGCGCGGCCGAGATCACGCGCCGCATCAACAGCAAGCGCAGGAGAGAAGACGACTTTGATCCCGTGAGCTTCAAGCGACGCGCCGTCAGCCCGGGCATGAGCGTGCACAACTCTCCCATCATGCAGAGCCCCATGCAACGGGACGTCGCGCCGTGGGGATCCCGCCCCGGCAGCAACAGCGGCGACCGGGGAGGCTCCGGCGCGCCAAGCGAGTCGGGAAGTCTAGGCGGGACGCCGGGGAGCAACCCCAACGCCAACGGCCGGGTGAACGGCACCAAGGGGCGCGTCGGGTTCCAGGGAATGGTAGACACCAGCGACGGCATGATGCGGATGAGCATCGAGTGACATGGAGCAGTGCAGGGAGGGATTCATGAGCAGTCCTGGTCAGTAGGCGTTTCTAGCAGTTCTTTTTTGGGTCAGGGTTGCATTTGAACAAAAGTACGGTGCAGGCGCATCGGTGGTTATTCAACGGAAGGAACAAGAAATATCCATAGAGCCGTACCCGGCATCACACGGCGGCGCACGAAGTAGGCATATCTAATGACCAGACATTGGTTTTGAACAACTTGATATTTCGTGGTCGTGGTATCTTTTCCCAACGCCTCTGTACGCCTTTAAATGCTCCCAATGGCAACGAAGAAAGTAAAAACAGGTCCCTCCCCTCCTAGACTGCGTGTAATCGCTCACTCCACGCCGACACCCTCCTCCGGGACCCTCAGACTACCCAGCTTGTCATCCAGCCACCTCGCCAGCTCCTCGGCGTGCCGCCTCATGACCACGACACCCGCGGTGTTTACGCTTCCGACACTGCCCAGGCTGGCAGTCGTGATGCCGCCCACGCTCAGCACGCTGTCCACCTCGCTCGGCGACGCGGGCATCTGGCTGGGCGTCGCGCCGCCAGACCTCTCGCCGGTCCCATTGTGTCCGCCGTGCGCCGCCAGACCACCTTGCTGCAGCTGGTGTCCGCCACCGCTGCCCCCTTCCTCCATGTGCTCCGCCAGAGGCCCGATGCACACAAACAGCAGCCCGCACTTGAGCCTCCTGATCACGACGACGCCGGCGGCCAGCTGCACCGTGATTGTCAGCGGCTTCTCCACTGGCGGCGAGGAGGCTGCGGACGGGGAGGAGTGCGAGGTGGGCAGGGCGTCGGGGATGTCCGGGGCCGTGGAGCCGTGCAGGGCGAAGAGCGAGGAGGCGACGGTCGACTGGGTGCGGAGGAGGGCGACGGGGTGCGGCGAGGCGTGGGCGAGCAGGCGGCCTGAGGGGGTCGCGAGCAGGGCCGTGTGCAGGTGGGCGTTGAGGTTGGCGGAGAGGAAGGTTGTTAGGCGTTTTGTTAGGAGGAGCGGGGGTGTTGGTTGGTTGAAGGACATCTTGGGCCGTTCGTTTGTGTGTGTTATCGCGTGTTCGAAGTGGGTGGTGGTGATGGCTTCGGATCTGTGAGAGGTTTGGTGCCCGACGGTGGGCTGACGGGCGATGTTTGGTGCGCTTCCGACTTGGGCGGTTGGGTCGTCGCGCGTCGTTGGGCTTTGGGCTGTAGTTTGCTGGTATCAGTCGAGCTGAGGTAACAGTTGGGTGTCGGAGAATCTCGAGCTCGAGCTGTAGCTGGCGGACGTGGCGGGTTGAGGTCGAGATTTGATCCACCGGGCAGTCGGAATCGGAGCTGTGCCAGCAGCCTCCAGTGTTCGTGCACCCAGGCAAATTTGGGCTGTGGCGGGGCACACGCCCGACAGCTGCAGCATCATGGAAGAGGTACGTACCGCCCCGGCGGCGGTGGTAGTGTGGCACGTGGGAACGGAGGCCCTGTCAGCGGACATCACGGCCCTGGCTGTATTTTAAGAACATTTTTAGTGCTCGGCGTCTACTGCGGGCTACTGCGCTCTACGGTGGTCATGCCGTCCCGTGATGCATTGGACGAACTAGGACGAGCGGGAGGAGCTGAGGTGCACTGAGTCATCCTGCGCTTGAAGCGACTACATGGGTATTTGTTTAAAGTTCATTTGCAGACTGAAATAACACGCAGTAAAGCAAAACCCATCACGCCAGGTTACGCCTTCGAACCGTTCAACAAGAGGAAGCGTCTGCGGAGGTCGTCCATGACGTCCACGTACTCCCGCCCGTCCTCCGTCTTCAACCGCCACTCGCAGTACAGCTTCTGGACCTCGTCGCAGAGCGTCCGCGACTCGGCAGCCGGGCTGACCAGGTCGTAGTCCAGGAGAAGCCGCACGGCGAGCTTGAGGTGCTGAGAGTATCCGACTTGCATGAGCGTCTCGTCGATGTGGACGTCTGCGCGCTCGTCGCACTGGTGAGGGCACTCGCAGCCCCGGAAGTTGACGTGCTCGCAGCCGCGGCCGACGTGCCGGTTGGTCCCGATGCATTGGATGTCCTGGCATCGGCGGATGTGCACGCAGTCGCAGGTGTCGCACCCGTCGAGCGAGGGGAGGGGGAAGCCGAGCATCATGCGGAAGAGGACGGCGCCGAGGGCCCAGTGGTCGTCGCTGATGGTGTACAGGCGTTTGGCCTGCAGGTGTCAGTTGCCAAAGTCTTCAGGCCAGGAGTGATGAGCTTACCAGGTCGCCTTTCATGATGTATTCTCTCCACTGCTTCTTCATCTCGGGCAAGCTCATGTACTCGTCATCAAAGGGCGCCACGGCCCGTCCATCGGAGTTGGGAAAAGGCTTGCGGTCATCGTTGGTCTTCCTATTGCGACGCGCCGGGGCACCAGACACATACGCAGTGCCAAACTTGCCCAGCTTGCAGACGCCGTACGTCTCGTCGCCGCGCGGGTGCTGGAAGAAGACAGCCTTGCCGTTGATACCGCGGTGAAGAATGGGCATCCAATCCAAGTCTTGATGCTCCCAGTGCCCTTGGCCCGTAATCCAGTCAATCTCCTGGCGACAGCCGTCGTGGAGCCAGACGAGAGCGCGCATGATGGACGTCAGGACGTGCCAGCAGAGCGACTCGGGCATGTGGCAGCCGGGCTCTTTCTCGAACGTCCGGTCCGCGAAGAGGAGCTCCAGCGTGCCGGCATCGCAAATGTCCCAGACGAGGTAGTCTTCGGTGGCGTCCACCCGCGAGTGGAAGGGCTTCTGGCGTAGGTAGCCCGCCAGCGAGATGATGTTTTCGTGGTTGAAGATGTGTGCAATGTTGCGCCCGATGTTGCAGTCGTACAGTAGGTCCATCAGGCCCTTGACCTCACGCTGTCTCTTGGTGGTGAATCCGGCTGCGTATTTCCCGGCGTCATAGTATTCGTCAAAGTCGTCGACCTTGCGGGCGACGAACTCCTCGCCATCGGCATATCCCAGGTGCTGTGCGAGCCTCCTCGCCAGCCAGATGTTGCCCTGGACTTTCTTGACGAGCTGGAAGGTCGGCTGGGGATGGTCTGGATCGTCCATTGCGGCTTGTTACGTTGGATCGATGAAGACGGGCATCGCGGGTTTGGGGATCGAACCGTGGACATATATCATCTTCGTGTGATCATTGTGATGATTTGCAATGACGATGTCTTCTTCGCCATGCTGCGATGACTTGAAAGGGCTACATCTGCATCAATGGCTTGTCTCCAATGTCCCAGCCTTGAGAATATCACTATGAATGGGTCATCCAGGCTTCCTGCATCGACACAAAGAGCAGTCAGACATTGTCGTTTGTCGTCCAACGGCTTTCATCTTGGCAGCCCGGAAACGACCACCCTGTGCGCCCCGTCCGTAATTAGTGTCACGACCGTTGGATGCCGCTCTGCAGCCGCAGTACAGGAAACATCCATCAGGAACATCTTGCGGTCGGACGAACTGCGCGGTAGCCGCAATCCCTCAGTCCGTAGCGGCGACCAAAGCCAGAAACATTTCAAGCCTTCACGCCCGACGCGCCGCCACTTGGCGAACGCGCAGACATGGTTTTTCCTAGAAACATTGTATCTACATCGGCCGCGCCGTTCATTGTCGTTTGTCTCAACAAGATTAAACTGACGATAAAGATAGCCGAATGCCCGGGGTAATCCACGTGCCCCCGGGGCGGGAAAATTGGCATTGGCAAAGCGAAATGGCGTCCTTGTCCCGAAGTGGGAGGTGCCCGGTTTTCTCTGGGCCGTGTTGGCCAAGACCTGCCGTCTGATCCGTGGGTGTTTGCGAGGATCCTCCCTTGGCCCTTTGCCCTTTGCGTTGTTTGCGAGGGTTGCGAAGCCCTTCTGAATGTCAGGCTATGCTGGAGAGGGAGGAGGGCGACTGGCAGTGTTGCTATGAATTAGTTCAGCTGAATGACATCGCCGTCCAGGGCTCAATCAATGCGGAGGGGGCGCATAGGCCAAGTCTGAGGTAAAAGAAGCACTTGCGAGGCCAGGTCCCGTCTCCGGGGGTGCTCGACATCATGCATACCGTGGTACGGCCAAGGGGACGGCGTTTCATCGATACTGTCCCGAGGGGAAGCTGAGCAAGTCTGCGGCGAGTTGAGACGGGATTCCCGGCGGGCGCAGATTATCCATTCTGGCTGCAACGAGAGGGACGAGTAAGTTTAACACAGAGACGTCTGAGTTCGACAAGCCACTGGGACAAGTGAGGTGCTCGTGAGAGAGATCTGGACGACGGCCGCCTTTTGGTCGGCCTCGCCCAATTCTCTACCGCGGCGCTTTAGTTTCGAAGAGCTGACGTTGCACTCTGCGGGAGTGGTTAGCGACTGGCCGCGCTCATTCAGGACGGTCGAAACAACGCGGCCAGATGGCCCCCAAGTGCGTGGCGTCCCGCCGCTTCGAGAGGCGCAGGACTTGGGTCAATGGTTGGATGGTTTGGGCGGGCGCGTCCGTTGCGCGGCTGATTGTCAAGGTGAGGCCGCGAACCTGTGGCCGTGTTTAATCTCGAACGGAAGTACCGTCTCGTACAGAGCACTCGTCCAGTGGCAGAGCCTTGCGGCAATACTTTGGAAGGAGTGGTGGACTGGTGGTGCTGCGAGTAAGACGATCCGCTGTTGCTTGGGGGCAGAAACGGCTCTGACAGGCCGACTGATACACTGTCAAGAGGCAGCCCTGGAGCAGGCCAGGGCACTTTGAGGCTAACAGGGGGAACACACGGTGGAACCCCTTATCAACCCTATATGTGACCCCGGCCAATACGGAGCCAGAACTGGACGGGAAATGGGACCTCAAACGCTCTGATGGTGGCGCTATTCCGATTCGGGACGGCCAGGGCACGGTACCTGCGTTAAAGGCCGCGCTTCAGTCGCTGTTGCTCCACATGCGCCTCGGATGCTCGAAACCGCCAAACTGCTCACGTCCGCCCGGCCCTGTCGCTGCGACCTCAACTCGTCGCAATTATTGGATGCTTTTCCAGAAAGGCCCCCCTTTCCTTCCTGTTTAGGCGTCTCTTGTCATGTCTGGTCCCTCTGGGTCCCCAGAAGTCCCTAGGGCCCCCCTCTCGCCGATCCCTCTTGAAGGCCTCCACTCCCGTCTTACTCGCCGCTGGTCACGCTCACGCCAACACTCTTCAGTCTCAGTGCTGCCCGTCTCACACTGGACGGACGCTGACACCTCCCGCATTCCTCTCTCGAGCTTCGCGAAGCAGTCCCATGGCCTCGACAGCAAGCCTCGATTGTCCCATCGACCGTCAACATTCCAGTCTCGCGTGAGAACCTCACCGTCCGCTCATTCTGCGCCATTGTCCCTCGCTCGCGATCGATTCGACGACCGTCCGCTCACTCACCAGTCTCGCTACTGTCCACACTGTATCACGCTGCCCTTTTCGACATTCTGATACTCAGCCTTGCAACCCAGCGTGGCCGATCAAACGCGGATATTCGCCCTACCAGCAATAACGCCCACATCACTTACAACATCAACACCAGCGCCCACGACACCGCCCTTCCTCGCTTTCCCTTGTCGACCAAAGCACTTCGGATAGCCCCGATTGACTGATTGACAGCCGGAGCTGACGTTGTCGTCGCGGCTGTTTTCCCTCTCCCTCTTGATCCACCCTCAAACGCCCGGTCGCTCGACTATGCCTTCCTGACGACCCGCGGTCCGAACTCTTGTCTCGCAAAGTCAGCCCTTCGACCCTTGGGCCCACATTCCGTTCTCCCTCTCGTTCAACTTCTCGTCCATTTACCCTTTCACTCGTCCAGTCTCTTGCGTCGACTGGTTTTTCTCCTAGCCCGTCAACACGAAAGCACAGTCGATTACTTCGCGGGCGAGTAACGACGTGTGCAGGCGGCAGGCCCGGATTTACGGTATCACACTCACTCACGACGCCGTTTCCTTTTTTCCCTTCTTCTTTTCGACTCGACTGTGTCGAAATTTATCGGTCTCTTTTTTCCCCGTCATCAAAATCCGCTTTTAGTTCAAGATGGGGTGCCTCAACCATCGCCGGAAGGGCATCCAGTACAAGGCGGAACAGAAGTGGGATTACATCGTAAGTGCGACCGTGGTCGACGAATGGGTAACCGTTCTAACCAATCGCAGTCTCTGAACGACTTCCGGTCGCGAGGATGCCTCACCCCGTTCGCCTACTTTTACCTCTGGCTCATGCTGCTCATCTCGGTCGCTGTTTACGGTGTTGATATGTTCACGGCCGTCAACCTGCTCGCCTTCGACAAGTGGTCATCCGAAATCGATCCCGCCATCGACTTTAAGATATCGAAGTGGATCTTTTCCGTCTCCATCATCGCCTCCTTTGTCAACCTCGCCTTTGAGCAGTTCCGGGCTATGCGTGTAATGAAGCGAGGAAACGTTGCTGAATGCTACCTGGACAACATCGCCGTCCGATTGGAGAGTACTCGCATGGGCAAGGGGCAGGGATGGCGACGTTTTCTCGTTTTCGCCGAGCTCACAAAG